TCCATTACAGCCTTAAGACAAACATTGCCCATAGCCAATACAACCATTTGGAATGTCTTGAAGAATAAGGAAACCACTGTTTTCCTAAGTAACAGCCATTGAAATACTAGATCAAGGAAAACAGCAGCAGTTGATGACAGAAACATTGTGAAGTATCTGCGAAGAAGTCCAAAAACAACTGTTAGTGACATCAGTAACAACCTGCGGAGAGCAGAGGTGAAGGTATCAAAAGCTACTCTTTGCAGAAGACTTGAGCAGCAGTGCAGAGGCTATATATACTAGATGCAAACCACTCGTCCGCATGAGGCAAAAGAAGGCCAGGCTGAAATATACGGAGATGAGCATCAAAAGATTCCGGTGTAACATTTTATGAAAAGATGAGACAAAAATTATCAAAGCAATGGGAAGGCTAAAGTTTGGAAACTGAATTGGAAAGGATCAGCACTGATCCTCCAGATAGAACGTCATGTTTGAAGCAGAGTGGAGGTAATGATCTTAACTGATGATATAAGACACAATGACAGCAGCAAAAAGAAAATCTTAACTTTCCATCCATCCATTTTCTGATCCGCTTAGCCTCACAAAGGTCGTGGGCGTGCTGGAGCCTGTCCCAGCTGTCTTTGGGCAGGCAGTAGGCGGGGGACACCTTGAACTGGTTGCCAGCCACTCTCCGGGCACACATTGACGAACAGCCACTCGCACTCACAATCACACCTAGGGACAATTAAGAGTGTCAATTAACCTGCCACGCGTGTATTTTTTCAATGTGGGAGGAAAACGGAGGACCCGGAGAATAATCCCGCAGGCACAGGGAGAACATGCAAACTCCACGCAGGAAGTCCAGTGCCGGAATCGAAACCCTGCACCGCTCCACCGGGAGGCCGACGCGCGAACCAGTCGACTACTGGGCTGCCCTTAACTTTGCTTGTCAAACTAAAATATTTTCAGTTGACTGCAAAAATAAAGGACTTGGCCTCATGGATTTGTATTTGAAGAGGAATGGATGCTTATGTGTCAGCGTACTTGCACACGGGCATACAGTTGCACCACAAGCGTGCATGTGTGTGTTTGTGCACCCACCACAAGCGTGTATGTGTGTATGTGCACCCAAACACTCTCGCATTATTAATCATTCATGCTGCTCAGTGTTTGCGTGAGTGTGTGTTCTCAAGCTCGCTTGTTGTGTTAATCAGGTTTCTCATGCACATGAGCATGTGCCATAATAAACAGCCACTACAGCAGGCATGCAAGGACAAACCCAGTGTCACTGCCTGACTGAGGGAGAGGGGAATGAGGGTAAAACCAGACATTGGCAAGCTCAAATATAGAAAATAAGTACTTTCTCTTCCAGTAAGTACTTTGTGATGACTACATTACATATTCAGAGCCGGCTGTGTGTGCATAACTGTCTGCGAGAAGCTAATTATCTGGCAAGATGCTGAACCATCTTGATTAAAATTGGTGCGCTGGCTGTGCACGTTTACGTGTTTCTAACGGATAGAGCAAAGGAAACAGTAAAAGCGTTGACGGCGTGCGCATCTATCACGCGCGTGCGCTTGTGTGCCAATGTGTACATGCTGAGAGGCTCGCCTGTGGTTAGGTTACATCTCCCTGCAGCGCAGCAGAGCGGTGTTTTGTTGCGTCATACTGAGTCTGTTAATAACAGGCTAAACCACAAAGGCCGTCCGCTGCCCCATTTCTCATCTTGCAGCAGACACTGATTATGCGGCCATGACACGTTAAGCAGTGTATTGTTGTGTCACACCGCACGTCAAGCCTTTTCTTTCGCAATTTTAAGTGGCTGACAGTAAACCAGCTGTGGATTTAAAGTGGGCTGAAACCTCTTGGGTTGAGCATCTTCTCTTTCAAGATGGGGGTCGGCCTCTGATTTGTTGTCATTTGAAAACATTTTCCCCATTGAAAAGAACCCGCTCCAGGGTCAACTGTTGCAAAAGCAATGTGTGCGCCGACAGTGAGTAACAAGTGTACAAAGTCAACTATTGTTACGATTGAAACTGTAGGTAGAACCTGGGGAGGAAAAAGTTTATGGCTTGGATCGTGATGACATTTCAAATGGTTAGTATTACTATTTGAAATGTTAATTAGTGCTACAATTGTATTTAGAGTAATGTGCCTTGCTGTAAGCCCATTTCCAGGTTACGTAAGCATGGATGGGAGAGATGTGGCGGGTTCTTTTCCGACTCCTTGAGGGCCTATTTTTCCTAAAAGCAACAAGCAAGGAATCTTAGAAATGTTTATGGTGCTTTTGAAACATTTGATGTCTTTTCAGCTCAGCGCAGTGGTCCCTGGGCTTTTTTTGGGCCACGGACTGCTTTCACGTCAAAACATATTTTGACAGAGTGGCACAGAAACAAATACAAAGAAATGATTGAAAAAAAAAACCCAACTCATCATCACACTGAACGTATGTGTCGTAATTAATGGGAACCCTGTGTATGTTTCTCTCATCAACAAGCTGGCAGGTCTCATCATGTGTTTCATAGCGTAGTGTGTTGTAAGACAGCACACCATAGCCAGGTGCAGGAAAAATGTCTCTGTTTCACTGTTTCTCTTTCACTGGTGAGTTTATTGTCTTTCGGGACAGACTTGCATATTTTGCAATTGACTGTGCTACCAGTCGTATTTTGGTAAATTACTTCCACATGCTTCTAGCTTTAAACGTCAATATGTCATAGTATAGTTGATGACTCTGTTCAACACCTAAACTGGATTATTCGTGAAGGCGCAGAGATATACAGAACGATTCCCCACATATAACAGATAAAGTATTTCCATCCACGCTTCAGAGCTGCTTTTCTAATTTACTAATCCTCTCCCTTGTTACAAATGTAATTGATCACTGTTAAAGGAGGCCATGTAGCAGCTAAATTTGTACCAGGTAAGTTAACAGAGGCACACACTCGATTTGTTTGTTACACATTCTTAATATTTCCCAATCCTAAAAAACAAGATGTAAGATGATTAACTTTAATTGTAGAATTATTTTGTATATTAGATATTAAATATATTGGGTAACTTCCGATAGCAGTTTCGTATGCTTCATTTTAAATGTCATTAATCAGTTTTCTTTACACAAAAGATAAGCAGTTTAATATTTTGCATTTTGATCACACACTCTACTGAAGGTGAATTGCATAGTCTTTTAAACCAGAGTCACGTGATGAGGGGAATTAGGACCCAGGAGCAGACATCAAATTGAAGTCTTTATCTATGAAAATACAAAGTACCTACAGAGAGCAGGGCTGGATGCAGATGACACGTACTGACAACTGAGTAATCCAAGTTTATATACTTTGAGACATCAAGCCTGCATGACAAATAAAGATACAAAGCATGAAAGAGCCACAGCAACTGCACAGCAACCGAAACAAGAAGGAGGAACAAACAAGTCACAACAGTATGCGCTGAATCGTCATTTTTAGCGTCAGCGAATCTTCAATGTTGACAAAGGTGTAATGTCTCACTTGCAGCAGTGCAAAAAAAAAAAAAGAATCCATTGTTAGATACATCGCAATGCAGTTGTAAACCTTTCTGAATCAATCAATACATTGAAATAATGGATGGGGCTGTGCCATATAATACTGTCCCTCATAGCTATGATAGTCTCCACCGGCGATTATTTTGTAATTTGTGTATACAATGGGTGCCACAGTTGAGTTTCTGAATTCGGAGGAGCTGCAAAATAATTTGCAATATTGTACACCGATAACACCAACCTAACAGGACATCATGACGCTTACTGACTGTGAATGTAACATTTGGAGAAAAATTCAACTCAAAGCCAGTTGAGTCGCTTGCAGAGCGATCATGACCGACTCAAAACAAAAAAATAAGAGTTGCTTACTTAGAAATGTGGTGTTTCACTTCAAATAAGCTTCTAAGTACAGATGCACATGTACAGTAATACGTGGAAACTGAGGACCGTCAATCTATTTCGTCATTCATATTCCTCAGTTGATATCCAACTGAAATGTCAAGGTCATTTTAGTGAAACTCCAAAATAGAGTTTAATAGTTCATGTTTTAATTACATCTAATATTTAATTGCATTAAATTACTCGAGCAAAATAAAATGTGGCACTGGCTGACAGCAAAACATTAATTAAAGTCATTTTCAGTGTCGTTAAAAAAAAAAAAAATGACAGACATATTTAAAATGCATTTGTGATGAATAATTGCCATCAGCTCTGAAGTGAGGGCTCTGCAATAAACTCATCAAATTATAAATGGGGTTTTTCCTTCTGTGGAGTACAGCGCATAGAGCGCATCAGCACAATCACCAAATTGTGGTTTCAAACGCAGGAGCACTCTGGAGAGTTCGGACCGCGTTTGGATCAGCACCAAATTGCACTCCTTTACAGATACCTCCCGCATTTGTCGTTAGGATTCGTCCATAATTCACCGTGTAATCAAGCAGAATGACATGAATGCCCTAGCTTGCGAAATAAATGAACACGATAGCCGTGAAAACAGGACGCCCTCGGTGGAGGGAGTAATGACGAGAATAAAGTCACAATAAGTGTTACGACTGCGCATACTTCAAGTGAAAGGGCAGTCAAGGACACAGTTGAGTTCCACAACGGTGTTTTATACACTGTGTGCTGTCAGACCCCAACCAACCCCCCCCCCCCCCCCCCAGCTTTCGCAGCATGCAACATCCTTGCCACAGGAATTTAATTGCTCTGTAAACAAGCCTTTTGTTTGGTCTGCTCATGCACACAAGCTGTATTAAATGCCTCAGTCAGCCAGCCCTGTCGTGAAAAGAAGAATCTCAGCGCGCCTATGCCGACAAAATACGAAGTTAAAATACGTGAACTGTATCTTACTATGGAGCCTAATCTTACGAAGCCAGGAAATCGTTTGACTGAAATGATCACTTACCGTTATCATATCCATTCTTTTCCCCCTCTCCTCTCTGTGATGTGATGTTGTGATGATGAATGCCGCAACCATTAATTGTTTGTTTTCCGTCTCCCACAGACATACGAGCGCCAGTTCAGAATGCCTGAGCAGAGAGAAGGAGGCCTATTGCAACTACTGGGAGATCCCTCACCAGCTAAACACCAGCCTCGCAATACTGTTCTTCCTGCGCCTACTCTCTCCCCTGTACAACCGTTGCAGCACACCCCCACGCAACAATTCCAGCACGTTCAGCAGCACCAAGTCAGTCCGGACTGGATCACGTTTAGAGCACCTTCGGTTTCTCCAGCCAATCCGACAGATTCCGAGCCAGCCGTAGAATTAACGGGAGCCAGTAGGAGTGCAAATTGTCTCATGGATTCAAATGCACTTTTTCCACGAACTGCGACTCACAGCCACTCGCCTCAGAGATGTTTGACTCCAGACCTTCAGTTGCCAGTTGTTACAGATGCCAGTATTCTCAACCTTACATCTCTCAGCAGGTATTTGCCTTGACAGTGTTTCTCATGACACATTGGAGAAAAACAACACCCTCCAATGTAGAAACTGCGACGTTTTCATCAAGAAAGTTTGACTAGTGAAGATTGTTGACCAAAAGGCGAAATGCCCCCCAAAATAAATGAATGCAAAACTGATTAACATGCTGCAGCACATCATAGCGGTCTGTAGATGCAATGCAAATCCACTCCATGATGTACCGTTAGGCAAGCAGCAGAGGGGTGACATCAGCCCACTCTGATTAGACTGATTACATTTGGCATCATTCACACATTATTGCCTTTTAATCTTCCAGCTGAATGCCTTATTGCTGCATTCTTGAGGTTGAGAGGAGTCATCCTGAAAGAGCCACATATTTTATCTTCATTTATTTTATTTGTTACATTTTATTAGAATACAGAAGTGAGAATAACACATTTATTAACTTAATCATCACTGACCAACTCTATTTTCATTTTTAGGTAATCATCTTAAATTAAAATATAAGAAACATTAGTGAGTATGGGACGAAGTGACATCATCAGAACCACAGTCGCGATCTTGCCGACTAAAACAACACATTAGAGCAAGCCTGGTTTAATTAAAAAAAAAAAAAAAGATCAGTAGGAACTGAACTCTGTCAGGTTGTCAGCTAAAGTATGCAGATTCATTATTTCTGAAGAAATTGCCTTTGAAAAGTAGTCCGACAGCACATTTGACAGCATATGTGGGACACGAACTTAACCGCTAGCTGCTCTCCACTAGACCAGGGGTGCCCGAGTCCGGTCCATAAGATCCCCTATCCAGCCTGTTTTAGACGTCTCCCTCCTCCAACAGACCTAATTCAAATGATCAGCTCATCAGCAAGCTCTGAAAAGCTTGATAATTTATCCTGATCATTTGAATCAGGTGAACTTTGACTTGCATCCTGAATTCAAGTCAAGTCAGCTATATTGTCATATATGCTCTGTGTGCACAGATGAAATTTCTTTCCTCTCAACCACAGTGCCAACATGCAGTGCATTGAAAGCACACACAGCTAAAAATAAGGGCAGCGGAACTGAACTGCACAAAAAGACATGAAGACATCAATAAAAACAAATCAAACAGTAAATAGGAAATAGCAATAAATAGCTTCACGATTGAACATGATTTCAGGATGACGTGTTGATAGTGGTGGCAAGAGTTTGTGATGGCAGTATTATAGACTAGCCTCAACTACATTTGGGAAGACGAGTCAAGACAGTCACCACGCCACTGTGCACCGCTGGGAACACCTTCCAAATAAAAGCGTACCAAAGCATTGATGTCGATGTAGTCTCCGGTAAAATACGTTTTTTTGAAGTTGGCCTTCTCACTGCGTGTTACCGTCACGCATAGCAAGAACAAGGGGTGCTGTGGCTGTCTTGACACCCACGGACATCTGTGTGCACACCAAATAAACAGGTACTCGAGGCAAAAACTACGAGGTGTTTGGAAGAGGACTCGTTTCACCCTTAGTTTGAAGATAGAATTTTCGGGGACACTTCTACAAAGAATGTCAAAACCCATTGAGACACATAATAGCTTTACGCTCAATGTTTGACTCACACTCTTCAAAAATAATGAGAGCATTGATAATGCAATGTCATTTTGTTTGCATAACTGTCGTTGATGTCTTGATGTCATGGTAATCCCATTTTGTACCGTAATCCGATTCATTGTACATTTTTCTGATACCTTCAACAATATTTCAACAGAAACTGTTCTCATCTGAATTGTTCTGTGTTCTTTATTCAGGGGGAAAGGTTTGCAGGAAGTTAATGAGCAGCTCTTTGGGAACATCAAGAGGAAGTATGGCAGGAAGGACTCCCAGAAGATGCTCTCTAATCCTCACAGTGCTGACACGCTGTGGGGAAGACAGTCTGAAAAAGAAACGGGAAGCCCATCTCATTCAGACAGGCAGCGCTACAGACAAGAAGAGACGACTGAGCAGTTTCATGAAGAAAGAGAGCAAAGAAGGAAGGATGAAAGAGAGCGAACAATTACTGGTAGGAGAGGGGATGATGAGGATAGAGGAATGCCCATGCTGACAGAGGAAGGAAAAGGAAGAAAGAGGCGGAGAAAGCCTTCTTTAGATGAGTCCTTTTCTGTTGAGGAGCAATCTCTACAACGACAGGACTCGAACACCACAGAGAAGTACCAGCATAAGCCTCCAGAACCCAAAGTAGCTCATAAATCGGAGATTCACAAAAATGATTCCAGGTTCACGAGTCAGGTTGAGATCAGTGGAGAGAAAACAGAGAAACCTGAAATACCGGACAAAGGTGACAAAAGAGAAAAGGGAGAAAGGGTAGACAGGGCAGAAAAAGATGATTCACTTCGGAGTGGGACTGATCCAGAATCACCCTTCAGTATGAACAGAATGAAAAAGAACCCAGTGGGTCGTCCCAAGAACTGTATTGATGCACATAAACACAGAGATCTTGCCCTAAACATCAGCAAACCACCAAACTTCTCCACAAGTCCCGGACTCCCTAGTCCAAACCCAAGCCCGAGCCCTAAAGGAACAATGAGTCCAAGCATAAGCCCGAAACCTCGGCCTAACTTTAGCCCCAGCCACAGACCGAGGGCAGCCCTGAGTCCGAGTCCCAGCCACAGCACCATCTCTACAGTCAGCTCCAGATCAAGCAAGGCTCAGGACAGATGGTCCTACCTGAAAGCAAAGAGTCACCACAGCATCACCTCACCCCAGAGAGACAGCTGCAGTAGTCCATCAATGATATTTGACCCACCTTCGGCCTTCCCTATAACTCCTTCTAGTCCACTTTATACAAATACTGACAGCCTGACCGTCCACACGCCCATCAAAAGAAAACGAGGACGCCCCAAGAAGCAACCCCTTCTAACTGTAGAAACCATCCATGAGGGGACATCCACTTCACCGCCGAGCCCCCTAGCACAAGAAACCTCTGCCGGACTAAACCGCAGGAGGAAGACTAACCCACCGAACGCAACAATTAATCCAACATTAGTACAAATGGTGTCAGCAACTACCAGTTCCAAATCCAGCGGTCTGAAAGTAAAGCGTGGCAGAAACAATTCAAAGCCAGTAAATAAGTTAAAGCTTGGCAAGATGCAAAGCATCCTGAATGAGATCCTGTCAAGCTCCAGTAAGAACAGCACCCTGAGGTCTCCTTCCACACCTGTTCACCCTGCTATGAATGCCATGGCATCAACCATTGAGGCTCGGCTGGGAAAACAGATCAACGTCAGCAAGAGAGGCACCATCTACATCGGTAAAAAGAGAGGCCGTAAACCCAGAGCTGAAACGCAAGGCTGTAACCCTGCCAAAAACGTCAAGGAAAAGCACTCCATGTCTGTCCCCGCATCCAGTCTCTACGAGAGCCCCGTTGTGAACGCCACCACTTCCTCTCCCAGTTCCAGTGCACCACCAATGAGAATCAGCCACTCTGATGCCACTATGCCTAGTCTGCAGCCCATCTCAGCCCTACCCCCCAAACCTTTAGTCAGAGGATTTCTCTCTGGGGGATGGAAACTGTCACCTCCACGTCTTCTAGCTAATTCACCCTCCCAGCTTTCCGAAGGTGCATCCGTGAAGGAGGTCACCTTGTCTCCCATCAGTGAGTCCCACAGTGAAGAGACTATTCCGAGTGACAGCGGGATCGGCACAGACAACAACAGTACGTCGGATCAAACCGAGAAAGGCCCCGCCTCTCGGCGCAGGTGCAGTAGTCTTTTGTACGTAGCTAAGGAATTGAAATTGGTGCTGTTGTTAACTGTTGTGTTATATTGTGCCAGGTATTCCTTTGATCTGTGCGGGTTTGAGGCCACGGAGGCTGCTGCCGTCGAAGCATCCGCCAGAGGAAACAAAGCTCGAAGTGAACGACAAGCTGCTGTGGACAACTTCCTTTCTCAGCAGGAGAAGAAGCAAAAACATAATCGACGTAAAAGGAAGTGTCTTCAGAGCCGGGATCACCTTCACTTTCTGTCTGAACTCGAGGAGGTTGGCTGCCTATTTGATTATTTTTACATGACTTTTACCGTTTCATAGTGTGATATGCAGTCAAATATGTATTTTTCTCATCCTGTCCAACTCCCCACCACTAGGTTGTGTCAAAGTTGCAGCAGCTACGAGTGTCTCACAGAAGATATCCCTGCTTCTCTCAGAATCCCTATCCCTCGATTTTCCGCCTCAACTTTCATCATTACTACCCGGTGACCTATGACACCTACCCCTGCGACTCCAGTTCGTATATTCGTAGGAGTGCTGATCTGAAGGCCAAAAGGAGACGGGGTCGTCCAGCCAAAGCTAGTGAGCCAATTGCCTCGAAAATACCTTTTGTTCAAGGATTTGGCTATCCACTGGCAGGGGGAAATTACTATGCAGCACCGTATGCTATGCCTTACACATCCCATCTAAGCCTAGGCTATTTCCCCCCGGCGCCTCCGTTCTACCTGCCTCACCACCCCCTTGGCCATGTTCCGCCATCACCATTTATGAGACCTGCTGTCCCCCCTCCCAAGGCTTTCCACGCCAGTGGACACCCAAAGCTCCAGCCCGGGGTCAAGCATCGCGGCATCACTGGCCAACTTCAGGGGCCCTCTGTAAGAGGGGATGGCTTGGGATCAATCGGCGGTAGTAGTACAGGTGGTCTCGGGGGTGTTCGCCTCCATAAGAGGAAGCACAAGCACAAACATAAGCACAAAGATGAACCCCTACTTTCTCCGCGAGACCGGCAAGAGTTGGGCGGGCTTTTCAGTGGAGCCAAGGCCAGTTCACATCGCAACCTTCTTAGTGACTCATCCATTCAGGGCCCTTCAAAGCATCAGGAGAAGAGGACTGACGGGAGAGGCTCAAGCCTGGGATCCACTTTAGGGATGTTCGAGTCGGAAAAGCTGTCCTCGCACTCTCTGTCAAATGGCCATTTCCACTTGCGTCAGACTGGACCGCCAATGAACAGCTTCATGAGCAGCTACAGTAGCCAATCACAGCAACCGGAATCATCTTCCTTCCTCTTCTTGGGGTCACAGGAGAATGAGTGTGGTTCAAGGAGTAGGAAGACGAGGCCTGCTGTGTTTGGAGATCAAGGGCTGATGTCACTGCAAACTGCCAGGCAGGAGCCAGTACAAATGAATGATTGCTCCAGTCCACCTCTCTCTGGTAAGAACCACTTACTGTGCATTAAGATACCGCTAATGGGAACACGAGCACTTACCTTACACTACACACTATGTACTTATCACTTATACTTCACAGCCAAATCTGTAGGCAGCTTCGAGTGCTGGGTTTTTTTTGGCCGGTGGGGGGGATAGATGTTCAGTCAATGCCAAATGTACTCGTACCCCGGTCAGCTTCTAAGTTAGTCTTAAAATTTTTGTTTTTGTTGTGTGGGTTTTAACTGGAAATGACAAAAAACACTGTCTATTAAGAATTGCCAAGAGATGTTACAGTCATTAAAAAGTTTGTTTTTTTTAGATTTTGATGAAAGCTCAAAGTCTCAAAGTATTCATAGCTTTTCTCCAAACAGGCAGATTTCCATTTTCATTGTTAATTGAGCAGAATGCTAGAAGTTAGGTCCGATAGAATAGGGCATCAGATTTCATATCCTCAAACTGAACAGGAATGTCAATCATTTCTGATTTGAATGTTAAATCAAATAGACAAAACACTGAGTATTTGATCACTAATTTCATTTCTACACAAGTTTCTTGGAGAAGATCATTCACTGATCCAACAAATACAAGTGAACTCAGTGTTAAGCCAGGGTATAAATTATTTGGGATTTAACTATACTTTAGATCGCTGATTTCATGGGTGTGTTTTAATCAGTCTTGATGTGAATTACGAAGCATGATGACATTGTTGGCTTTCTTCGGTTGTGTGATTGAAGTTGCCTTATGGGCAATGGGTACATGTTCAAAACCGCTTCTTAAACACATGTGCAACCTGTCAAGACTTTCAATTCAAAGGGGATCATGTGTGCCAATATAATTGGTGTCTGATGTATTATTGTGTTATTTAGTGATTATAATGCCTTGATTCCCTGCAGTGGCAATTTAATTAAAAAAAAATCTTTAGTGTTGACAGCGTTACCCTAATTGTAAATGAATACGGATGCATGAAATGTACAAATCTAATCTGATTTCCAAATAGTCATGTGGATTTTGTTTTAGACTCTGAATTCTGCTGCTTGTGAGCACATCTGGCTTGGGATCGACAGAACGTAATGCATGGATGGAGACAACTATAATTCACCAATCTCTCCACCCCCCCCTCCCCCTCCCTTCCTCCACTCCTGCCAATGCCTTTGCCAGAGATATATTATTCACACAGTGTGATTTATTTTCTACAGACACGCCATAAAAAGCCCTTGCCTGTGTTAAAAGAGCTGGCTGGCAGCCAGGGGTTTAATGACTGGGGCCTAGTCCAGTGGCGGGGAGGAGAAGGCAAGGGCTCAGTTAAAATACCCCCCACCCCCCACCCACTACCACCCCCAGGGTATCCAGGACGGATGACTCATATATACACTACTCTCCCCAAACCAGCACATCTCCTTGTCCATGTTTCCCTTCCAGTTTATGTCTCCTATCCTCCTTTTACACAATTTTCCCCCCTTATTTTCCTTGGATGGTTTGGAATCCACACCTCCATATGCAGACTTTTCCCTCCACCTCTTCCTCCCCCCTCACTTCCCTCTTTTTTTCCAGGTCTCCCCTCCCCCTTGCTCCCCCATTACCCTCTCCTTTTCCTATTCCCTCTGCCCCTCCTCTAGCATGACTTACTGCTTCACTTCACAGCTTTAGTCCAATTAAAATACAGGCACATGTGCACGTATGTACCAGAACACACACACACACGCACGCACGCATGCACGCACGCACACACACAGCCATATGCAGGCACAGAGGCTCACGTTAAACATCGCTGGGGTATTTTTCCACATTGGCTACACTGTGTCTGCTATATTAGGCTTTACCCGTATTTTTTCAGCACATCTCACTGACAGTTCTCAAAGAGAGAGTACTTGCTTTAACACTGGATTAATGAGGACCTATAAGTCCTGTAAGTCACATGCTCACCCCTATTCATGATGCCAAGAAAGATCTTATAAAAAAACAACAGTCGTCAAAGATCAAACCAGCACTGTGTGTGTACCAAGGGCTTCCTATTGCGCAGAGAAGCTGGTCGTCAGCGCTATATGGACCCTCGCACTGCTCAAGGTCATCCGTTTTATGTCCCGTGTATGCAGCTCATAAATTTCATCTACTTTGTGTGTGTGTGTGTGTGTGTGTGTGTGTGTGTGTGTGTGTGTGTGTCTTTGTGGGTGTGCGTGTGTGTGTGTATATGTGTGAGCTAGAGCTCAGTTGGGCTGATAACATGTACAGCTCATAAACTCTTGATACTTATTGCTTTTCGCATTAGACTAATTTCATTGTCTGCCCTGAATTCTCAAGTAAAAGTCGAATGTGATGTTGCTCTGAGATGTAAATGGAGGGCGGTCAGGCCTCACGTTATGTCTCCTCAAACTCACTTCATTAGTAAGTGCCTTAGAATAGAATTCAGGACCCTCAGTCCGATGTAGCGATACCTCATGTACTACCGTATAATCCGTACCTGGATTACAGGTAGGAAAGTTTGGTGTCAAAGTTGACATAAAGTATCGTGTGAAAGTTTTGAGCCACCAACATCTCTCTTGTTTTTGGACTTTTTTTTCCACATCCATTATTTTGATGTCGTAAACCAGGGATGGGCACCCGGTGGCCCCCCAGCCACATGTGACCACACTCTTGAGTGCCCCGTGGATTCCCCTCCCCCTAATTCTTTTTTTTTCCAAGCACACAATATACATTTTGCCCCAAAAAGGGTGGGAATAGGGAAAAAATATTGGAACAAAAATGCAAAATATGAAAAAATATTGTGGGAAAAAGTGTAAGCATAACTAAGACATGTCTGTCATCTAGTGGTGGTTGGTGATACTACAACTTAAAACTACAGTCGACCTCTGTATATTTGCGGTTCGGCACCAAAGTTTTTTTTCATATTTGGGATATTTCACAGTTTTTCCAGGATTGTTTTCTCCCTTTTCTGCCTGTTTTTTTTTTTTGAAGGAAAACATATATTGAAAATTTTTATTAAAGAGTTTTGCGGGGGTTGTAAAAACTAATCATAAAATAAAATGTATTTATTATCCCTTGTATGATGTTATATTGCTAGCATATACTGTTGTGTACCAACATCAACATCAACATAACGCCACCCCAAAAGGATATTAAATCACAATTTAAATACACCCTCCAAAATTCCCAAATTTATTATGCTGTCACTGATTAAAATGGTAGAATTCAGCACCAGCTGCCCAAGTCAGTCTGCGCTTGCGCCGTAAGCATTAAATATGTTAAAATGAAAATCTTAACTATTTGACTATATTCCTGAAAAACCTCTCTTAATCCAATATGCCACACATGGATGGCATGTATTGAACTAGGCGTTTTAGAGCTCACTGTAGATTTGTGATACTGTGGCAAAAGCAAAAAAATGGTGGCCTTTGAAGGAACAGGAGTAAATGGTTAAAAATAGAGAACAGCATTTTGTCTGCACGCTGCTTGGGGACTGCTGGCTGATTGCGCTTTTCCTTCATGTTGATGGTGGTGGTTCATTTGGAATCCTGGAATCAATGCCCAGACGGAGGGGGAGGGTGCCGGGGCCTTAAGAGATGGAAAACAAAAAGAATGACAGAGATGGACTAAGCTCAGAAAGAGGTTACTGAAATCAAGAAGGAAATTAGAAATTGCAGCGTTAATTATACTCTGTGTGTGTTTGTGTGTGTGTGTGTGTGTGTGTTTGTGTGTGTTTAGATAGCTTTTGGCAGCCTATGCTCCAGATGCACAAGGTTGTGATTGTGTGGAAACATATGAAATGCTCGAAGGAGACATTTCTGTGGGTTTCCTCCTCTCTGCTCCCAAGCAGACAATTACAGGATAGGATATGCGCTCTTGGCTCAGCTGGGCTTTCAAAGGCTTGCATGAATATGTCAAAATTAGCAGGAAGCTCTTCAAGTCGAAGAAAAAAAAAATAGAAGACATTCCCCTCCATGAGCAAAATTGGCATCATGTCTTTCTTGGCCTTGGAGAGGATGTTCATTTTAATTAGAAGTTGAACTCTTTCTAAATGCTGTGCTTTTCTTTATTCACCTTCTAGCGGGAAGTTCTTCAATCGGAAGAAAAAAAAAATAGAAGACATTCCCCTCCATGAGCAAAATTGGCATCATGTCTTTCTTGGCCTTGGAGAGGATGTTCATTTTAATTAGAAGTTGAACTCTTTCTAAATGCTGTGCTTTTCTTTATTCACCTTCCTCGTTTTGGCTCTTGCAGGTGCTCCCAGTAAACGACGGTACAAGCGCAGAGAGGTAGAGCAGATCCAGAAGGAGGTGAGAAGGATGCATTCTTTGAACTTCGAACATGTGCAGAAGATCCTCCGTGCCAAGCGCCTGCAGCGGCAAGCCAAAACTGGAAACAACATCATCAAGAGACGACCCGGACGGCCCCGAAAACAACCGCCGGATGATGAATCGGGTCCGGCCAACAGGAGGGAGGAGAACCGGGCCGGCGGTCGCGGGTTGGACATGTTGGCCGGTAAAAGAGCGGATGGAAGGACTCCGGGGATGCCTGTTCTGGAGCGCTGTGATGAGCCACCGGGTAGACAGAGCCTCAGGCCCACTTTGACCCCAGAGCCTCTGGAGTTTTCCAATCACGATTCCATTTCGGCAACCATCGAAAAGGTGGTTCATAGAGCCCGCTCTCTCCCTCCGCCGGCCAAAGGGGGCAAACGCCGGGGCAGGGCCAACAGCAGGGACAACTTATGGGCCCCCTCCAATCAATAGACCCGCCGGAGAGAGCAACTCTGTCAATGAGCAGGAGCGTTGAAAGGAGCCGGCGCTGTTTCATCCTTATCAGATCCAGTGCCCTTATTCCGGTGACTCCGCGGTGCACCTTGATTTAAGAGAATGAAGACAGGTCAGAACAACGGCGGTGCCAGCCCTCAGTTTGAACATGAGCCTTTTCAGGGTTCCTTGGACCTGCATTTCATATGGCGCTATCTGCTTTCATTTGATCCTGAATCCGATGCTCATCGGATTGCGTGGTACTAACGGCAGTGTAGGATATGACGGGACTCTTCGTGTTTCTGATACAGTGATGCGTATGGTACTTCATGAGACTGTATCAGAATGTGGCGTGAGCCAAATATTTACCAGCAAGGGGTGGGTGTGGGGGAGGGGGCGGGGTTTAGGGGCATATTTGATTCCTATAAAACTGTGCAGCTCAGCTTTTTTTTTTTCTGCCTTTTTGTGGGAGCCTGTCAAAAAGAACACAGCAGTAATGAAGCAACCTTACCCTGATACTTCCCCTGGTATGTCACGTCTGTGTTTGTTACCGTACCTTCTTAGAATGGCTTTTATTGGTCCATCCCCGCAGTTTAATCCCATATCCTTTTTTTTTTTTTCCTGCTTCACCTCCTCCCAATCTAAAGGTTTATTACCTATACAGGAGAGGTCGAAACCTATCCTGGACGCTGACTTAAAGGCAATATGGTGGACGAGACTGTCCTAGACTGTACATAGACAAAACATCCATTCTCGCTTACCTTGTACAACAGGAAACCAGCTCACAGACACGTACTGGAATTCAGTATATCCGATTTAAGTGCTGTACTATAGACAATGAACGTTGCGTATTGTTTCTATAACCAAAACACAGACATGGATGCGACACAAGACAAGTTTGTTTTCAGATAGAAACCACACGTATTCAGTCATACACTCATAACTGTGTTTATATCTTGGGAAGGGGTGGGGGCATTGTATACAGTGTGCATATCAGGTGTGTTTGTGTTTTTTTTTTTTTGTTGTTGTTGTAAACCTTAAAAGTTGGTTTAATGCACTATGGAAAAAAAAAAGAAAGAAAAAAAAAGCTGTACCCTTGCATCAATCAAATGCAGCACTTAAATGCTTGTTCCAGCCTTATGCTTTTTGGCCTTGGTGTGGATATCCATTCCAGAGAGCATGCATTACTTTTAATCAATTTGTATATGCAGGCTGCGCAGCCAAAAGCGTCAAACCGAAGCCCGGCTATGGATTGAACGGAGAGGGCTGACTCCAATATAGTGTTCTGAAAAGCTTACCCCACTCTTTATACTTTCATTTAAAAAGAAAAAAAAAAGAAAAAAAACAAAACAACAACAACATATTTTTGGGACAGAAAATCAAAAATTCAGTATTTTATGAACCAAAGTCTCAGTATTAATTGTTTTATTTAACAGAATTCAAATCAGCGTCTTTATTGTGTTGGAACCAATGTAAATCACCCCGTGGTGCACTCTAGAATGTAGCCAGGATTGTTTTAATGTCAATGTGTACTGTGTCCTTTTATCAATCTCTTCACTCGTGTTTATTCCGTATATAATAAGAAATATTACTCAGTGTTCTATTTCAGGAGATTCTGTTTTGTTAAGGGTTTGTTTTTTTTTTTTGGACAGGGTGGGATTCTCAGTTGCAGCAGCTCAACTTGTGCCTTATGATTTGTGTTGTTCTCTTCTAATAAATGGCATTTGACCTGAGAAATAGCAAAGCGGCATTCAACATTCAACCCAAAAATAGTCCTGATTGTGCCAAGAGTATCATGCATAAGATACTCAACACAAATTGTCCAAAGGGAGCTAGAAAGGTGTGACTGGTTAAAAGAAATTGTGTATTCCCTGCACTGTGTTTGTCTGTTGTTTGACTTTTTGGCATCACTCTACTGGATGGCATTCAAATTGGAGGGTTAACATTTCACATGGTAGTATTTTTATTTTATTTTTTCCCCCGATTGGCCGAATGGGCTGCGTGTAATGATCCACAAATATTTTCCAACATCATGATCAGCATAATTTACAGACTATAAATGAGGATGCTGTAAAACGAAGCTCACATCTGGACTGCTCATTGCAAGTAACAAACAGCTGCATAATGAACAAAGGAGGTTGTCAACTTGTCATGTCCACATATCCTTGTTAGCTATGCACTTGGCCGTGCCTGGCAATGGCTGAATAATGAGTTTCTTAAACAAAGAGATCCCAGTGCTCCAACAATGATCTCATGTAACTAATATTGTGACAACCACCGGTACTATTTTCTAACAAGTTGTGCAGAAAGTGACTATCGTTTAATGTATAGTGTGACTGAAACTTACAAGTACAGCCTTAACCGGGGGTGAAACTACAGTTGTCTTTTTTTGTCAATTGTAGGGAGTGACATTTGGCTAAAAACCATCAATGAGTTGAGTTTTAAGTATTCTTTTAAAAAGGAATTGTTCCAAACCCCAGTTTCAATGCCTGCGTTGCAAAGGGCAAAATGATGCTGCCATGTGCGAGGTTTGAGTGGATAGAACTCAATGTGCCATCGCTGACAGCTGTCATCTTTAGACCACAAGCAAAATCATCGGCACTTTTGCTGCTCGCAACCCAGTCGTACATTCCGTTTCACCTCAGTCACGTCGACCCGCGATTAATCATCGATCGAATCCTCACAATCGACGGAATTCTTAAATCGCCCATCTGTAGTCACGGTATTCATGGCCGGATGGTGTCATCAAGCCGTAGCGCTGAAGCAGCGGTCTGTATTCAAAATGCTCCAAGGCCAAACACACAGTACATTTTTGGGGGGAGGAAAAACCCACCACCCTTGCTGATTTTGGTCCGGATCCTATACATCGCTGAGCGTTGCACTTGGAACAAGGGTAGTCATCCAAACTTGCCTTCTCATGGCGTTTCAAGGAAGCCTCAGAAGCCCACACTTTTCCACCTTACCCCTTTCATGCAGCCTGTAACCCGATAACATGATCAGCTGTCCATTGAAGTAACCGCTGTCTCCGAAAGGGTTAACTAGGAGTCCCCGCAGCCTGTTGGGGCAGTGCAGTAGCACGAACAAGTTTGTTTGTTTGTTTGTTTGTTTGTTTTGCTAGCATCCCACTCCCCTGCAACCTCCCAGAACACACTCATCCCAATCTCTGTGTGCTTGACCTTGCCCCTTGTGTGAAAAGACACACCGGTGTGTAGTGTGTTGCGGATTGTTCACTGTGGTATGGCGGCGGTTTGTTGCTCGTGGAGTTGAACATCCTAGATGTTGTCCGTCTTGTCTGTTATCTGCTACCAGCCGATGCTCCGGTGCCTTCGAACACTGACAAGTATTGTCCTAAACCTGAGCTTTCACGTAGACTGGCATGGGTCGTGAATGATGACGAGGGTTCACGGGATCGTACGTTGACCAGCGGCTCTGATTTTTGCATTGCGGGCGGTACGCTGCAGCTCGTTCATGCCGGTAATCGATTAGCAGCTTCGCGGGGGATACGCGCTCCCTTCAAATTTGATCATCCTGTGAGACAGAGCCTCGTATGTAGTGATCCTCGCAAGTGTACAGTAAGTCACATTTGTCAGCCAATGTTGCAAGCAGATGAATCGGTGGGGAAAAACCAATAAATGTACTTCTTTAGAGCACAAAGTGAGGGCATATTTTAGTTTGTATACATAGTGAATTTGAACCTTTTTCTAGAGTGGCTTTCCTTTCTTCGCATGCTCAACTCGATTGTATGCATAAGTATTTTAGACGAGCCGAAAGTTGAATTTGGAGCAACACTTGTACATTGTTTGATATGTTTGTTTTTTTTTTTTTTCTTTTTGTAATGAATTTTTTAATTCATGAAGCATTTTTGTACATTGTATGAATATAAAACAAAACAAAACAAACAAACCTGCAAATATTTGACATATAGAGTAAATACTAGATGCGCATGCATATGCATATATTCTTCACCGTATGTATGTGTAAGTCTACACATATATTTTGTATTTGCATTCGCCAGCATACAGATATATGTCTTAAAGCACATATATACATGCAATATATATGTATATCCATGTCTGTCGGCATGCTTTTGGCCATGTTTATCGTTCATGATCTTGTAGGTATTTTGTTTTGTTTTAACTTCTTTTTCCTGAGAAAGAAAAGCTCATTCTTTTGCTATCCTTCCGTTGGCTGGCTGCATTGAGCACTTATTAAGAAGAACTACAGTTGAAGTTGTTCATGTTATCCATCGTGTGAAATAATAAATGACTTTATTGACATCTTATCGTGGTGCGCATTGACTTTTTTTGTCTGTCTTGTCGGGGGCCGCTTTGGCGCTGTGTCTGCTGTGTGTGTTTCTACGAGTGCTCTTTACTCTTGACACTAAATGTCAGATGGTTGGAGTGAATGGAGCTTTACTACAGAGAGAATCCTCTCATCAGATTATGGCGCAGTCCCTCACAGAGGCACAAACACACACTTACTTACTCTCTTACTTGCGCAACAGCCGTGCCTCCATCTCTAAATCCTCAGTGCACTAGCCCTTCGCTGTTACTTCTAAGTGGGCCGGGCTGCAGGCTGCTCTCCTATTGGACTCGGTGCAGTGGGAAATGCAGCACTATTGGCTGCAGCCCACTAGTAAAATTCTTCTTGTTACCATGGTTGCAGGGTGAGCTGCCCAAATGTGTTTCTGTGGTGTTGATGGAACCGTTGGCATTGCAAGTGAGAAGAAAAAAAAAAAAGCCCGCCTCTGATGGAAGTAAGGGGCTGCGCTGAAATTCTACTCTCCTCTGTTGCACGAGACACGTGAAAGGATGACCTGAGCAAAAACATGCGATGTTTGTGCGTCTTCTGTCGAATTTGTTTTAAAACATGGAGATGTTCACCTCACGCTCCTGGACACAATCTGCATCGAGAAGGGATGTGATACACAATCGTCAGGGAAGGTGGTTCTGAATCAAGTACCCACAGCTGGAAATTAATAGAAAAAAAAGAACCGTGATTTAGTTTAATTTAAATTTGATTAAGGTCAAATTTGACATTAAGGAAAACATGATTGCTGGGCTTTGATCCACTTTTTCAAACCAATGGACAAAAAAAAGAAACAACAACAGACTTTTCCCCTCTTCAATGAACCCTTAACCACTTGAGCATTTGAACTGAAATTGGTGTAAATATATTGTCAAGATGAAGAATTAAGATTCAGACAAGACATTTTGGATAACTGCGTGCTTCCAAGCTTGGAATGAACAGTTTTGCATTTCAGCATGACAAAGCAAGATCCAGAAAAGCAAGCTTGGATGAGTTTTGTGTGGAAGAACTTGAGAGCCTTCTCTCTGGCCTAAAATCAGTAACCTCTGACCTTGCAAATGTTCTTATATATGAATAGTAGTTTTAATGGTTTTGTCTAAATAGTGTAAAGTTGATTGATTGATTGACGGCAGTGACCATATTGTATGTTTCGCATCGTATGTAGCCTATTTCCAGTTTTCAGGAGACCACTGAATTGCATCATCCATCTATTTTGCATGTTGAGAGCCGTTCCCAAATATATATATATATATACGGTATATGCAAGAGGCGCCAGCAGCACATAACAATGATTAAGTCAGGATGCAAAGTGAGGGGAGCCATAAATTCACAACAGATAATGTTGCATTTCAGGCCAACTAAGCAAGACGCTGCCGTGTCACTGTCCACAGCCTGCATTCATCTCTGTTGCCTGCGCTTCCAAAGATGGATAGTGCTGGCAACACTGCTCACTCCCCCTACCCTTACCATCCCCTTTCTCCTCCCTCTGCACATCTCGAGCAGTGATTGAAGACACCACCTGGTGGACGAGTGCGTCAGCCCAGTATTGGTTCTCTGAAGACAATGAGTCCAGTTCCTTATACAGGTACGACAACTTTAACATTTTGTTCCACTCATGCACAGTCATACCATTTCCAATATAAGCACAAAGAACTTCAGCATGCATGTTGAAATGATCTGCTTTACTAATTGACAGGTGACAGTAAATGTACTTAAAATAACAAGCTACTTTAATGAAAAGAGTTCAAAGGTATCCCAAAGGTATGACAAACATATCATTGGTTGTAATACTATTATTATAGAGTGGTACCTTGAGATATGAAAACCCAACTTGGGAGTTTTTCGAAGTATAATTTTCACAACTCAATTTACTTCACGGCGGCCCGGTGGTCCAGTGGTTAGCACATCGACCTCACAGTGCAGAGGTACCGGGTTTGATTCCAGCTCCAACCTTCCTGTGTGGAGTTTGCATGTTCTCCCCGTGCCTGCGTGGGTTTTCTGTGGGTACTCCAGTTTCCTCCCACATTCCAAAAACATGCATGGCAGGCTCCCAATTGTCTCTAGGTGTGAGCGTGAGCGCAGTTTGTTGTTCGTCTCTGTGTGCCCTGCGATTGGCTGGCAACCGGTTCAGGGTGTACGCCGCCTACTGCCCGAAGACAGCTGGGATAGGCTCCAGCACCCCCCTGCGTCCCTTGTGAGGATAAAGCGGATCGGAAAATGGAAATTTACTTCACAACAAGCAGCGGTTTGGCAGATAGTAAACAATTCTTGAAAAAAGGGGCTTTCCTCCCTTCCCTGTTTGAGGTTTTTTTTTATTTTTTATTTTTTTGTCAAACTCAACATAATACTAAGAGAATCAAACATCCATTTAAAAGAACCCATGACTTAACCCGGACGGCACAGTAGACGACTAGTTTGCACGTCCGCCTCACATTCCATATGTCCAGGGTTCGAATCTGGGCTGCAGCCGTCCTGTGTGTAGTTTGCATGTTTTCCCCGTGCCTGCGTGGATTTTCTCCGGGTACTCCATATTCCTCCCAAAATGAAAAAAACATGTATGGTAGGTTAAACACGGTATGTCATCCCTTGGTGTGATTGTGAGTGTGAATGGTTGTTGTTTGTCTATGTATGCCCTCCGATTGCCTAGCAACCGGTTCAGGGTGTACCCCGCCTACTGCCAAAAGTCAGCTGGGATAGGCTCCGGCATGCCCCCAACCCTAGTGAGGATAAGCGATTCGGAGAATGGATGGATGGGTGGATGACTTTACCCTCAAGTCTGCTAGCTTAATGCTAACACATGATTGGAAACACCATAAACAGGATAACAAATAGCAACTATGTCGCAGTGTTATACCCTATAAGCAACAGACACTTGAATACTAATGACAGAGCAACACGTGCTGACAGGTAATACTGTATACTACCGTAACATATTCCTTGTCCTCTGCAAAGAATGAAAACTATTACTGCCTATTGAGGGGCTGAGACCATCTTCATGTACAGTGCATCTGTATGTCTGTATTATACCGCCCCCAAGTGAGAAAGGTATACATACCAGAATGAGCAGCACAATGTCCATTGAATTGAAGCAAAAAAAAAAAAATGAAAAAGTGGTGAAAACATGTTTGCATTATTATCATTTTTATAAAGTACAACATAATAGAGTGCTATTTTTATTATTAAAAAAAACACATTACACACATTTTTGCTTGTTATTTGTGGGGAGGGCTGTTCCAGCCCTGAGTCAGGCAAGATACGTTGAGATAGGTGTGCTGTGAGTTATGAGCATGATCACAGAAAGGATTAAAGTCATATCTCAAGGCACCACTGTAGAAGGCACGATTTCATGCAGCCTACCTCGGGCTAGAAAGAAGAAACCGTAAATATCCTCCGTCTTAAATAATTATACCACCAGTAAAAATGAATCAACGTGCACTGAATTGTTCGGCAGACCCTTGTTTCTTAAATTTTCATGCGACAAATGTCTGTTGCCATGGTGACACTGCAACTCTTTCCAGACAGATTTGTGTACACTTATATACGAGAGTAAACAGCAAAACTATGCAAAATTTGAGGTCTGGTGAAGACAATTGCACATTTTATCTTATTGCAAAAAAGTCCCCTGCAACCACTGTAGCATCCTTGAAGGCGCTAATGATCTTGACGTCGTGTGTCGCATTTCCACGCTCCAGCACAAGAAGTGCTTCACGTGATTCTTTTTGATGAGGAGAAGCCACCAAATCTTTTCTCTTTAGTCTCCGTCTTTCACGCTGGGGCATTCCCTCATTTCCCACTCCCCCACAAATCTCCTAATAAGCCGTCTCTCTGCCTCCTGTAATTTGGCAGACAAGTCTATTATATGATACACTCATATTTTATTAATGGACCCCTGTAGTGAACACACACCTCGTAGTGAATGAGATGATGTGACACGCGGGAAGCCCTCTTGTGTTAAAAATGATTTCAAGTCCCAGGTTAGTTTTCGTTGTGTGTCTGTCCCGCACACACACACACACACACACACACACACACACACACACACACACACACACACACACACACACACACACAAACACACTTGTGGTGAAGCAGGACACTTCTGCACACTTCATTACACTTCCATCAGGACAATGACTGCACAAAGCAGGGTTGACTTGAAATGAAAACAACAAGAAAATAACATCTCACATGTATTTTAACATTTCTGTTTCCTCTGGAAACCGAGTAGTAAAAAAACAAACAAAAAAAGGAGTTGCTAATATAGTGCATTGCAGCATGCTGATTCATTTATGTGTTTATTGCAGGTGGTAAAATGTGACATGTGCAATGCATATAAAAATGTGTTAATGACAATAAAAGTAAGCAAGTAAGTAAATTCGACAGTACTTTTTACAGAGAGGACTTCTTGTTCGTCAAGTTAATGCTAACTTTAACTCAGGTAAAGAAGCATTTACATTCAAATTGAAACACAATGGGTCATTTGTTTCAAAATGTCACCATGGGTTGTATTGATTTGATTAATCTGTCGTAGAAATCCGCTGTGATGAATGCCTAAAATATGAGGCATGATTAATTCATTCATTTACAGCGTATCGCCACTAAAAATGAGTCAGCTGATGCTGTCTTGAGAAGGTGAAATAATGAATTAGCATCTGTTTATTGTTGAAAGTTTGCTCTTGCAGAAATGGATCAGATTGTTTGTTTAAGTTGCTTGTCCAAAAATGCTTGAAAGTACGCTTGTCGAAAACACTTGGCATGATTATACTGTATATAGTAGGCGCTGCTGCTTTTCTGCGGGAACCTTTTTTTAATATTACAGTATTATTTGTCTGTTTATATTACATGATCCTTTTCATGCTTACAAAGACATGACATAACTCAAATATTATTTTTTTCTATCTCATCTTCCTGCCCAACAAAGCAGAGAGAAACTGATTCTAACAAAGCCACGAGAATCATTTAGTGTCTCTTTTGATCAATTTATTTGTCACACATATTGCCTTTCACACGCTCTGTGGTACACTGGCTTTCCTTTGGTTGATTTCCTTTCCTGCTTTGAGATTACTCTTGCATGTGCCACTTTAAGCATGTGCATACTTTATGTGCACGTGTGTGTGTGTGTGTGTGTGTGTGTGTGTGTGTGTGTGTGTGTGTGTGTGCGCGCGTGCGCGCGTGCATACATGTGCACTAGTGCGTGCGTCTCCTGAGTCTCAGAACAGTATTATTGTAAACATATCATTTGACGGCGAGAGTGGTTCAGGTTGTTGGCCGACTGCCTCTCTTTCATTTGGAACACAGCTGCCAACATCTGGACTGTGTCAACACTCACTGTCTGCACGCAGCACGTGCGTGTGTGTGTGTGTGTGTGTGTGCGTGTGCGTGTGTGTGTGTGTGTGTGTGTGTGTGTGTGTGTGTGTGTGTGTGTGTGTGTGAGAGAGAGACGGCCCCCCCATGGCTCCGCAAATGTCAGCAATTCAATCGGAAACAGATTTGCTCAGATCAATGACAGGTTTGGTGTTAATAATTGGAACTATGTTCGGTCTTGAATCCAGACTCGTATCCATTAGAAGAAGCTGAGTGAGATCTTGCCATCACTTTGTAGGCCCCGCAAAGACCCTTAACCTGAAATACTCATTTCAGGTTGTGCACTGACTTGATTTAAATTCAAAAGAAAAGGGATCGTTGAAAAGGTAACTGGGTGGCATTTGTACGGTTGACGACATTAAGGAGTATCTAGTGCGACACAATATAGGTTGAATTGATTGGATTGTTGTTTTATTATTATTGTTTTTTGTTTGTTTTTTTGTTTTTTTAGCACCAGAGAGACAATCGATAAGCTGATCTTGAGTATTTGTGCCTGCTAAAATTCAAGTACAAGTGTTCGTTTCCAGTCCAAGACTGAGTCCGGATTTTGATTCCATCCATCCCGCTTTTTGTGCTACTTTCTGTATGTAATTCCAAGTCACAGGGAGCTGGCGCCTATCCCAGCCAACATCGGGGAAAAGGCGGACTTCACCTTGCACTGGTCACCAGTCAATCTCACGGTATAAAAAGATCAAAGACTTTTCACAAGTCGGGCCAGCGGAATCACTGAACATCATTTGATTTGTATGTAAATGTTTGTTTTTTCCCCTAATGTTTCCAGAAAATGTAATTAAACTGCAATTCTATTCTCTAATGCCCAATCACAGTGAAAGCAGATCAGTGTGATAACACAACAATAGAAAATAACATATCTTTGGTCATCCATCTCTGGTTTTGTGGTATTTATTGGCGAAAATTAAACTCAATGTTTTACCACTAGAGGGCAGAAGATACATTTAACCTGTGTGCACACCTGTTGCCTTACGTCAAGAATATTAGCTGTGCGTTCAACTCAAAAGGCCCAAGATTTCACATCGAGTACATTTGTGAGTAATGAAATCATGATTATTTCATAATATTTACGTTGTGTTTGGTGGTGTGCCGTGAGATTTTTCTTCCGTGTCCTGTCCGATGTGCGTACACTCACAATGGGATAGTTATCCTGCCGTGTTACTTCGGTGCGATGCCCACCCCTCCCTTCCCTGTTCCATGCCGACTTTCACCAAACAGACGATGCTGCAATTATTAGCGCTTCAGCACGTTTACGTATTCTATCACTTCAGGATGCCAGACGGCATTGCTGCAACTTTCTCAACTTTTGAGGAATCTTTCAAATTGTACTGCAAAGAGGAGGCATGTGCAAGCATACAGCCCACGTCTTCCAAATGTACAGGAACTAGGACAAGGTACCACTAGAGGCCACACTAATCATGTCCTAGTACGACAAATATACCACTGATTGTTTTCTCCCTTTTAATTTTTCAGTGTGTCAACAATTGTGATTTGTTTAGTTTTTATTGCACTAAAGAGTCTGAGAAGCATGACAGTGAACAACAGAAAGTTTAGACTCATTGGCCACCTGGATTTGAAAACTTCACATATGAGCAAAGCAGAAGAGTAAAATGTATACATTGTTTTATATAGTGCATAAATTATTCACTTTAAACGGTGCAGGCTGGTTGTTGCCATGGAGAGATGTTAGAATCACAAAACTCGTCAGAACTGAGTGGAATTTGAATCTGCTCTCATTCATCTCTTTAAAGTGGGAGCAGATGTATCTCGGTTTGTGCATGTATGTTGGCGCATACGTGTGTGTGTGTGTGTGTGTGTGTGTGTGTGTGTGTGTGTGTGTGTGTGTGTGTGTGTGCGCAAGCCAGAGTGAATGAGGAAAATTCCGACAACTGAAGTTATTTAATGTTCACCTCATCTTGTATCGTTCAGCTTGCTTGCTGTGAGCGTTACAACTCGGAGGTTGGGGTTCAAATCTTCTCTCGGTGTCACCAGTGGACCGTCTGATCCAGTTTGACTGAGCTCAGCATATTTTGGCTTCGTAGCCACTCATGTTATGGCTGAGCCTTGCGAAGGGCTGGACTGGGATGTGTTTGTGTTGGCTGGAAGAGGGATGGAGTCTGCTCACCTACCAGGGGCCCAAGAACTCCGCAGGGGACCCACCTAATCCTTAGCTCCGTCTGACAGCTTAATCGGAGTTTCACTCCTTCTATCGTCAAAAGTATTAGGACACCTGGACATGACATTGACAAGTAGTGAGAATGGAAGTCTGACGTTGGTCCCCCTTTGCAATGAGTGTTTTTGTCCATTCATGTAGAAGAACATTTGTGAGGTCAAAGTTGGCGATGAGAGAGAGCCCGCACTCAAACATTTTGATTGACATGGAAAAAAAGAGAAAAAAACCCCACATTTTTACCCAGTTTGTACTCAGTCTGTCAAACACACACCAATTTAAGCGGTTGGCTCTTCAACCTCAATCTTGACGAAAAAATCTGGTGGGGAAAAAAAATCTGTACCTCTCCCACATATGTGTGTCACGCATAGACATGAGACGTGTGCCTGTGAGATATGCATTCATTAAACGGCCAATTCACTAATCAATTGGAGTCACCACTGATTCGTGCTCAGCCATACTACTGATGATTTTAGAATTGATTGTCAGTTTAAACTGCAGTGACTAAAGTGGACTTCTAAAAAATATTCTTTGACTCAAACGCATCTGAAACCACTCACAACAGCTCACTGTAAATATTGTTGCATTTTTTCTCATGATACATGTCATCCATTTAGAGGTTATTATTGTTGCTGTTGTTGTTGTGGGGGGTTTTTTTTGTATGTACAGTGAAACTCCTCTACAACGAAACCTACATGGGCGAAAATACCCCCCTGTGTGAAAAAATGTTCATGCATGAAAGCCATTCCCACTTTTCTGCTCCCCCAACAATGAAAAGTCCCCCAGTTCCGTGATACGAAACATTTTCTCTGCTCTTGCCTCGCAACGAAATTCACTACAACGAAAACTAGCCTTCCGCAAAAGTCTAATCCAACCTCAGCAAGCCACAGCGACCTCTACTGCTTCGTTCGGAAATGGCAACAGCAACCACCACACTAGTTTACACATGCGCAGTAGTACAGGAAGTATTTGTTTCAGACGCAGCACGAACGTTGCATTGCTAAAATGGCAACAAAACAGACCTTTGCATACCAACTAGTGAAGAAAAGAAAAGCTTTAATGCTTGAAGACAGGAAAAGGTAATGAAAATGAAAGATGGAGGAAGCAAAATAAAAGACATTATGCAAGAAATTGATGTAAGTAAAAATAAATGCTGATCGTAAATTTCACAATTTCTTTCTCTTTTTTTCTTTCTACGCTGGCTATATAAAGTGTCAAATAAGTGTATGCTCATACTTATGCACTATTGGAATAAAAATAAAAAGTACACATATACGTTTTTTGTGTGTGTTCGTGTTTACGTCTGAGAGAAAAATTTGCTACAGTGAAAAGTCCCCTGTTGTGAAAAATATCTTGCTGCAAACATGATTTCGTTGTCGAGGAGTTTCACTGTACTCCTCACTTACCGTTGATGTAAGTATGGCTTACTTCACCCGGAAGATGTTTGATGGGTTTGAGGTCAGGGCTCTTGAATTCCTCGGCACCAAACTCATCCAAGCATGAGTACTTCCTGGAGCGCAGACAAGGGCTTTCTCCAAAGTGTTCCTTACGAAGGTGGAGGTAAACAATTGTCCATAAGATGAAGTGAAAGAGGAGGGAGTGAAGAGTCAGAGAGGTCTGAAGTATAGGCGCTAATCTCTATCGACTAATTAACTGGTAGTGTTAGGTTCCACAAGGACACACTCACACACTCCGGGCCCGATAAGGAGCCATCTGGAGGTGAAGGTAAAGATCACTCATTAATTAAGTGAGCGATCATGGCTGACGAGACTCAGTCGACTCGTACGATGTTAATTTAGTGTGCCACGCTCGGGGGATTTGCCCCGTCTCCCACTGTGAGCCAAACACACCCGGATACAGTCACTTCAAGTGAGTGTCTGAGGGCTTAAATGTCATTACACGGTGGTGTCTTTTCTCCAGTGGAAACACTCCTCCACTGTACATTGTTTGAGTTGATTTTGACGAGCAGTGATCCAGGGGGGGCTTGTGAAGGGGGAGAATAAGCCCTGTGAAGGAGGCTGGCCATTAGATTGAATGGAGCGGGAAGCCTTTGCGGAAGCTCGGACTAAAGGCTGTATTGAAATGTCACCGAGAATCATTTGCTCACATGTGAAGATGCCGCTCCCAAAGCCTCCATGGGCCATCTGCCTCACAGCAAAATGCTGTTCTTCTGTAGCTCTGGAGGGGTGGGGGAGTGGGGGCGGCGGATGGTGCTTCTTTTGGCGCCACCGCGTCAAGCTTCATGTGATCCATGTTTTTCTTTTTTTTTTTTTTTGTCTTTGCTTTGCCCCTAATAACATTATTCTCTAGTCCCCGGTCACATGGAAAACAGATGAGTTTGAGTCGTAAAAGAGGGTGAGGGGGGCAGTTTTGAGAAAGGAATTAAAATATGGGAGCTGCCAATGTTTTGACTTAGTGGACAAAGCCTCAAGGCGAGAAAGGAGGCTTGGAGGGAGCGAGAGCAGGAAGCTGCGAGAATGTCAAACATCAGTCGGCTTTACTGACTCATGACAGGGATTAAGCATCTCCAGCCTTGTTGGAGCTGTTAAGGTATTATCAAGCTGCCTGGGAGTGACCTACAGTGGAACTTCAAGTGTTAGCGGCATATCAATTAGCGAGACATTAGAAAGTGAAACCGACACAATGCTTTGGGAATGTCAAGTCTCTTATTTCTGATTAAAGCAACACCCGGGGATGATTTACGACGCTGAAAAAAAAAGTAGGAGTAAAAGTGAGTAGATGTAGTCCACTTAAAAAAATGATCTGGATCCAGATGATTTTATTTTGTGCGACCACTTCATGAAATAAAATTGAGTAGATTCAGCACACCATTTTTTTTCTCAGTGTACTTGTGCTCTTGCACGTTGGTTGAAATACATGTGGGACAAATTTAAAAAAAAAGGTTACCTGCATCTAATGACATCCATGATAGCTGTATTCAAAATTCTGCCTTTCCATATTTGATCAATTGTTCACAAAAAGAACCAACTGTACAAAAAGCGGTACCAGTCTTGTACTTAAGCATTGTAAACATGGCCTTGGTTACGTTACCAGCCTTGATAAACTGCTCGGAGTAATTCAATCTGAAACGTGTGCGAGACCTCCTCCTTTCCAAATAAGCAACCAACTTTAAACGCAATTGCTGGACTCTTGCATTTGATGTAAATGGCAGCATCTCATCATTAAATGATATGGCTAACAATCGGCAAAAAAAAAAAAAAAAAAAAAAAAAATCCCTTTTGCCAGTAATCCATATTAGCAGCTCAGGCTTACTGCCAACTCTGAAATGTTTAAAAAAAAGTCGTCAAGTATACAACAGCAGCCAATGAATTGGTGGAAACGGCCATGCCATTCATATCCGCTTTTGAGTGCCCCTGATTGTGTGTGTGCTCATGTGCTTTTTTTAAGACTGCTAAAATAAAATAACTGCGAGCTAGAATAACACGCAGTTACTGTTCAATGAATGTAATCATGAATTCATATGAAACCGCTCCGATATTAAGTGATGAAGGGAACAACGTGTGGCAGACGGGAACTTGCTTTGCCTATAAATTAGCACAATTCGCAATGATGCTATTTGATGTCTTGCGTTCACTTGGTAATCGATGTAATGACATTTTAATGTCCTTTTTTTTTGCGGGGGGGCGACAGGACAAGTGACAAGTAAGCCCTTCATTGACGCGGATAAAACACCGCCGCCACCTACAGTATTCCTACCATTTATCTCCGTGTTTTATTTGTCGTCAGTGTTTGTATGCTGTAAAATATTCGAACACCAGCATTAATCTGTCATGTGCTGCGCAGGCCGCAACTCGTCTCTGAGTAATTTACGCCGATTTTGACTATTTAATGTTTACGTCAGCCTGCGCGTTGGCTGTGTGGTTATGTTTCACCGTGGGGGAGCAGTTTATTTTCGAGTGGAGCTTAGGAAACCTGCTAATTTACTATCTTTCCAACAGATGACAGATGCACACAAGCATGCATCAAAGGCTGCATCATACGGGCCCGAAGACGCTGCCAGTGAGTCCCAGACAACTCACAGTTCGGAACTCGTTTCCAAGGATTAATTCTATATTTTCATGTGAATGTTTTTTTAAAAAGATAAGTTCAACCGTGCAGCAATTCCCCATCCCTGTTTAGGATGCAAGTGAAGCTAACTCTGGATCTAAGCTGCCTTGAGGCAAATATCCAGGACGAGCTGCCAATCAGTCACGGAACTGACACTTCCAGACAGACAACCATTCAGTCATCAGCACCGCCAGTATATCTTCGGTCTTCAGCGAACATATAGGTATCAAGCAATCTCCGGTAATCTGATCCAACGCATAATGCACGTTATAATCTATAACTTCAGAACTATAAACTTGAATCAAGTCTGATTATAAATGTACAATTGTAGACTTTGGTGACCTCGAAATGTCATATTCCGGTTTACCGTTGTAGCTATGGCCGCCCTACAATGGAGCGGCCATAGGAGTACAAGTCTCACCAGTCATAAAATGCATCATGAAGAAGACAAAACATACAATCTATAAATCGCACTGAACTCAAAGTTGTATTTTGGGGCTGGGAATTTATTTCAAAAAACCCAAGAACAGGAGCGCTTGGACTGGATTCGTGTTGGATGGATTTGAAATTTTTGCTTCTCATTATAGAAAACGTTTTCTTTTTAGTTTAAAATGGCTTCTACCTTTACTAGAATCCCACGTCGCATTGCGGCCTAAGGGAGAATCCTGGTTGGTTATTGTGCCTTTTATAAGTCGCAGCACCAGCCAAACTATGAAAGAAGTGCAGCTTAGCCTAGAGTCAGAAAAAAATACGCTAATAAAAAGTTAGTAAGACAATTTGATGCATGTTACCATGTCTCTGGATGTGCCCATTTTCAAGATCTAACAAAAAGCACTCAGGCCTGGGGATGAACTCAGTTAATTCACTTTTCTGTGACTTGCATTTCTATTTCAGTCATGTCCTCGAGAACTGTCTGACTGGATCGCGATTGGCTGCCTGTCAAACATTATAGTAGGTACTCATTTCTCCAGTGGGTTGCCCTAAAGTAAATTGTCATACTTAATCATTTGTTTGCTTTGGTGAAGTGGCACCGTTACAATATGGTAAGTTACTTTCAAATAGCATGAATTACGAATATAAAACGTGTTTCATTTTCCTTCACTGTCCTGAATAAGCCAACTTGTTTCTCTCTAGCATCCAAAGCCAAGCTTGTACAGTCAACCAAATCTTTTCAACATTTTATCGTCACAAAAGTTGTTTGTCATATTGTGCAAGCAGGCATGTCACTGTTGCTAACATAGACTGTCAGAGTCTTCCATTCTCTGTTGGTCCTCGACTGACTCCAACCGTATGAGTGTGTGTGTGTGTGTGTGTGCGTGCATGTGTGTGTGTGTGTGTGTGTGTGTGTGTGTGTGTGTGTGTGTGTGTGTGTGGACTTGGAGGAGTGCCATGCAGCTGGAAGCCATCATCCAACCACTTTCTGTCTTCTTCTCTCCCTCCTTCTCATTTCTCGTTCTCTTCATCTCTACTGTCTGCTCTCAATTTCTCTGTCTCGATTTTCATTCTCCACTTTTCTGCGTGAGGTAAGAGTTGGACTTCGGCCTTCCTCTTCTTTGTTTAGCCTCCGTTCGCGCCGACCTTCTCGCTCTTTGCAGTTGAAAGATGGATTTTTCCATCCGAGCTCAATTCCCCACTCTTGTCTTTCATCCAGACTGTTTCACTCTAATCAGCACGCTGTGATAATATATGTTTACTTAGCCTCTGAAGTTCTCCTCGTCTTGTTTGGGCCTCAGCGGATGTCATAAGTGATGGATGGCGAGCGTGTAAACATTGATTACATACTGTGCACTGAATGAAAATGTCACCAGAAAGCCAGAGAGGTGAGGAAGAGAGTTCAACAACATCAACAAGTGAAAAGCCAAATGAGGATGAAAACAAGGCTGTGAACAATTCAGCCTTTGTCCTTGCACATACACACGCACACACACACACACACACACCCATGCACTTGCACGCACATAAATACATAATATGCTGTGGTGTGTTTAGCTATGTGGGAAGTGCCGTTTATTGGAATTTAAAGAGGAGAAACGGAACCCGACAGTTAAGTTAAGAGGAACAAGACTCTTTATTTTCCCCCTGCAGTTTTGCTCAAGTTCATTTTTCTCTGCCAATCCATCAGTTTGTGAGACTAATACCACAGCAGCATGTACAAACCTTTATTTTATAAACCCGGAAGCGGTGGCTGGTGAGAAGGATTAAAATATGATCAATTTCATTTGCTTTTTTTTTTACCCCTGCATCGTTTACATTTTAAAGTGGAAAACCAATCACGATGCAAGGGGTGAACATGATGAAATGTAAATGCATTATAATGTTCATCATCAGTCATGTATAGTAAGTATTTAACATTTTGATGAGGTTCTATTAAAGACACAATGTCCCTAAACTTGGCAAAAAATAAAATAAAATAAAAAAATGTGGCGTTCAGTGCTTCAGAGTGCCCCAAAAAATGGAGCCCAGTGCAGGCAGTACAAGCAAAGCAAACAATGACGATGAGAGAAGGCTCACTTAAAATGTTTTTTTTTTCTTTTCACCTTAAAATGACTTGCTTTAACCAGAATCCTGTGTTCGCACTGTACCCAAAGGTACAATCCTGGTGGATTGGATGATTCTACTTCCGGTGGAATAAGAAGATGAACATTAGTCTTCAGAGATGGGCATTCCTTCGGTTCTGATGAAAGGTCCGTCAGTCTGTCACTGATGGAGGCCCGATGATTTATACTCCGGCTCCCTTCCACTGGGTAGCTCAGCCCCATTTGTTTTGTTGATTTTTAAATTCCTTGTGTGAATGGTACGTCTTGTCTTTGAAAAAATAAAAACATGTATTTTTGTATCTGAATCACGTCTCATGCTCCCTTTTGTAATATGAACCCGAGTGCCGTGTTAATGGTACGAACACTGAAATATTTTCCTGGGTGGTATTAAAGTCGAAATTCCCACCTTAATAGTATTGACTTCTACTCGTCACACATTGATTGTCGT